AGCTGGAAGTGTATGCCCTGTAGTCAGAACTGATATGTACAGTCGTGTGGTTTGTGCCTGGTACAAAGAAGCGACCTCAGCGGGAGTCCAGGGTGACATGAGCCCACGGTAGGGAGACACATAGGGCCACCTTCTGCTGAAGGAAGTGGCACCTTTGTTTTTGCACATAGGCACCATTTGCCAAGAGATGCCCCCTAAGGACTGGGTCTGCATAGAGGGGTGCTGTTTCTAATTCACACAAAAGGTCAAGTCAGCCATCAGCTGATTTGGATAGAGGCCCAAACAGGCAACGCACCGGATCCTATAGACCAGTGGTTCTCAACCTTGGCTGCACATTAGAATCACCTGGGAATCTTTTTAAAATCCTGATTTCTGGGCCTTGTATAGACACAGGCCTAGGTCCTACAGAGAGTATCCAGATCCAGAGGCTTCAATCCTATCAAGAGAGCTCCAGATGCTAGAGAAAGGGGCTCAGTTCTTGGAGGGTGGATGTGAGAGTGCTAGTTTCTAAAGAGGAGGATCTGGGCCCTACAGAATAGGGCCCACAGCCGTAAGTGGGTTCCAGACTCTACCAACAGGGGTCTAGAGCTTCTAAAATCAAATCTAAGGTCCTCAGCCAGCAAGCTCCGACTCCCTGTGATTATGGACAACTGTGAGCCCCACAGGGAGAAGCCTCCCTTTGCAGAGCAGGGCGTGTGGCAGGCAGGGAAGGGGCTGGGATCTGTGGCACCTGGAGTAGGCAGGTTAGCATCACTCAGGTGAAACACATCTCCTCGGGGATAGGAGTCTCGGGGGCGGGAGAGCTGTTTGCAGTGTCCCTTTCCAGCCCAAGGGGCCCAATTTATTTTCTGGCTCCTGAGAAGGGAGAGGAGATCTCCTGGGGTGGAGAGGAGCTGAGGGAGCACAGAGCAGCACTAGACATGGGGCCTGTTCTGGATGACACTGCCCTTCCCCCAAGCCCAGCACCAAGGTGGGCTTGTGGTCAGGACTTCTGTCCGGCCAAGGGTAAGTGGATGAAGGGTGCCTGTGTGTTCTTTCTCCTGCGGTAAAGACGGAAGGAACATTATGCCTGTCCCCCTGCACACAGGTGGTTGGCTTGAGTTCTGAGAACCTGGTCTGAGGCCTGGTTCTCCTGGTCACTCAGTCTGAACCTCTCCAAAAGAGAAGAGATGGGAGGCGAACAGGATTCTAGACCGTTTCGCTCAACTTCTCCGTCCTAGGAAAAGAAAGGAGAGCACGGAGCTACGCGTGCGTAGAGGGTGCATGTAGGTTTGTGTATGAGGTGCGTGTGTGCATGTGTCTGATGTATGCTCCCCTGTCTCTGTATATCTAAGTGTCTGTGTTTCTACAGATCTCTAGTTATCTGAAATTACCTTTACCTGTGAGTGTGTGTGCACGCGCGCACGTGCAGGGGGCATGTGTGTGTCTATAAATTGGTGTCAGCTTCTGGGTGTCTGCTTTTTCCTGACTGTGTGTGTGTAATGTTGAGCTTGGGTGTCCCTGTAGGACAATGACTGTGGTGAGAGCTGGGACCCAGGGTGCTCTGCCCTCTGCCCTCTTGTCAGTGTTGATGAGAGTAGGCCTGAGATACCTGAGGACATCCTTGCACTGGGAGGGGGCCTGCCAGAATATGTGAGGATGTGTGTGTGTGTGTGTGTGTGTGTGTGTCTGTGTGTGTGTAATGTTGAGCTTGGGTGTCCCTGTAGGACAATGACTGTGGTGAGAGCTGGGACCCAGGGTGCTCTGCCCTCTGCCCTCTTGTCAGTGTTGATGAGAGTAGGCCTGAGATACCTGAGGACATCCTTGCACTGGGAGGGGGCCTGCCAGAATATGTGAGGATGTGTGTGTGTGTGTGTGTGTGTGTGTGTGTGTGTGTGTGTATGTGAGGATGTGTGTGTGTGTGTGTGTCTCAGGAAAGCCTGGTTTGCTCCAGCTGACTCTCCTGGGTCCCTCCTCCACCTCGGCCCTGGACTGCCGGGGCCCTCCCAGCACCCAGGACTGACATTCTTGGGGGCTGAGCTCCTCTACCCCACCCCCACGAAAAATAAGCCTCCTGCTCAGGTGGGAGCTTCAGGTCAACAGCTGTCAGGTGTTGGTGCCAGCTGAGGGCTTGTCCACACCCTCTAGCCCCCCCTCCCCCCACCGACTCTCCATTCACAGGGGAAGAGGGGCAGTGGAAGGAGCAGAGGGCCAGACCGTTCAAAAAGGAGGGGGGTCTAGTGCTACTGATGAAGAGGTCCTGGATCCCCACCTTCTTTTCAAGTCTCTACCCCATCCCAGAAATGAATGTGCTCACTCCAGCTGGCGATCCCTGTCTTGGGAACTCCAGACTAGGGAGCAGAAAACCTAGGACCAGCGGTAGCAAATTAAACCTCGGAGGGAGAGGCGAGGAGCGCGCGGGTTGCACGGCTCCAACCTCCCACGCGCCGCGCACTCCAGGC